ATATATATGGTGTCCTTGCCTCCTTTATTTACTAGATCTGGCCCTGTGTGACTTCTGGCTCCTCCTCCAAGTCAAAATGACCATAAAAAGTAAATGTTTTAGGGCCAGGGATTTAGCTCAGTGGTTCTACCGCCTGCCTCGAAAGTTCAAGGTCCTGAGTTCTATGCCCGGTGCCAAAAAAAAAAAAAGTGTTTTAAATCAATTCAGGACACAGAGGCAACCACTATAGTGCAGCTAAGACACTGGTGAAAGAGGACTTCCAGAATTGCTTCAGAAAGTGGCAAGAAGGATGGGATAAGTGTATTCAAAGAGAGGGGGAGGACTGAGGGGATTTGTGGGAATGTCTCTTAAAACTTAAACATTTACCGTATTTTGTGATCACCTCTGTACACTAAGAACTGCCCTCCCACTGAGCTTTGCCCCAGCCTGAGCAACCTTATTTGAAGCTCCCTTGTGGGGTTTATTGGCACTGAGGAAACACTGGCTTGGATGGAGATGTGTCCTGAGCACAGCACACCTGTCCTGCCGGGAACATGAGACTGAACTGAGCCCCAGGCTGCAAGCGATCCGGGGCCTGGCACTGGGCCACCTCCTTATTGAGTGCACAGCAGTGCCTGGCGGCCGCTGGGTCCCCCAATTCCTCTGCCTCAGGCTTGCAAAGCCGGTGCCAGCCATGCTCGGCTTCAGCCCAGCATGGGATGAGCTGGGTGAACAGGGACGGGAGGAGAGCTGGGAAGGCACTTGTTTCCTTTATTGAACATTGGCAGGGTGCATCCAGGGGAGGAGGAAGCAGGCGGAAGCAGGCAGGAAAGCGGGGCAGGGAGTCACCCACCCTCACTTCCAGTCCTTGAAGAACTGCTTGAAGATGGGACTCTCTCGGCCCTGGGGCAGAATCTCCACCTGCAGGACAGGACCAGAAGCCTGGTTCACCATGTCATCCATCATCCCTGCCCAGGCCGGGGAGGAGGGTGTCAGACACCAGGCCAGAGTCCGCATTCATCCAGGCCAGGATACAAAGTGACAGCCATGCAGGCTAAGAAAGCAGATGGCACCTGTAATCTCAGCACTCAGGAGGCTGAGGCAGGAAGACTGCCAGGAGTTCAAGACCAGCCTGGGCTACATAGCAAGACTTTGTCTAAAATAAAGAAAGAAAAAGGAAAAGAAAAGAAAAGAAAGGAAAGAAACAAAGGGAGAGACTTGGATGCAGCCGTGGTGGCTCACATCTGTAATCCCAGCACTCAGGGGGCTGAGGCAGGAGGACTGCCATGAGTTCAAGGCCAACCTGAAATACACAGCAAGACCCTGTCTCAAAAGCAAACAAAAAGACTTGGGTGCACAGTTTGATACTGCCATTGATTACAGATGAGCCATGTAGGAATGATTTAGCGAGCCACTACACTGGGGCTAAAAGGGGAAGTAGCAGCCAGGGACAGTGGCCCATAGGAGGAGCACAAGCCATCCAAAGGCATACCTAGCTTGCAGGGAGCAAGGATGGCTGCCCAATATCCTCTTTGAAAATAAGAAAACATAGGTGGGGATTTAGTTCAGTGGTTTCACCGCCTGCTATGCAAGCACAAAGACCTGAGTTCGATCCCCGGTACCAAAAAAAAAAAAAAAAAAAGAAAAGAAAATAAGAAAACATTAAAAAATAATAACAGTCTGGGCTTCATGGCACACACCTGTAATCTCAATACTCAGGAGGCAGAGGCAGGAGGATCACCATGAATTTGAAGCCAGCCTGGGTTACATAGTGAGTTTGAGGCCAGCCTGAACTACATAGCAAGACCCTGTCTCAGAGAAACCCAAAAAACAAAAGAAGATGAGTTTTTAAATGTTCAAGAATTGAGAAGGGCCTTCCCCCAGAGTGAGTCTGAGAGGGAGGTCTGATTGTTCCTGACTGGTCCAAAGCTCTCCTGCCCTCTTGTCCCATCTGAGAGGCTCGGAGGCCACCGGGAGGGCCCAGGAATGGGACTGTGGATCCTGACGTCTCCTTACCTGAGTGTTGGGGGCATACTGCATTCGGGAGATGAAGTCCTCAGCCACTTGGAGGGCAGCCTGCCGCTCCTTTTCATTAGCTTTTCGCCCTGGATCACAGGAAGGGTATGTTTTAAAAGAGCAGGGACCCTCTTTAGCCTTCATCCCATTTTTCTTGGAATTTCTCCCCCTGCTTTTTTGGGGGAGCCACTGGGGATTGAACCCGGAACCTTTACTCTGAGCTACATCTCCAGCTCTTTTTATTTTGAGACAAGATCTCACTAAGTTGCTAAATTGCCCAGGCTGGACTCCAACTTTCGATCTCCTGCTTCAGCCTCCCAGAATGCTGGGATTACAGGCTGGCACTACCACGCCCAGCACTTGAAATGTAAATGGTTCCACAGAATAGCTGGCAATTTAAAAAATTATAATGCTGAAGAGCTCTTTGGAGGTAGGAAATCAGCCCCTTAAGAATTTTTCCAAATTGGCAGCTTGAAGCTAAATGAAAACTCTTTTGCTTAGGTCTGATCATCAGACCAGGAACTGGGTGTGCTTCTGTGGCACAGTGTTTACCTGGCTTGCACCAGACCCTGGGTTTCACCCCCAGTGCCACAAAAACCGCAACCACCTTCTGCTCTGGCCAGGGCCCCAGGGACATTCAGCAAGAAGGGGTTTTCTCCCTTGAATCAAACTGTAAGGCCAGGGGCCCCTGCCCTCCCTCTCGCACCTGTCTTCTGTGCTGTGTGCAGGCCTTTTTGGTAGCACTAACTGGACAGATGGTTTATTATAGAGGTGAACACACTGACTCCCATAATGCCAGCAGCCTGCATCAGCCTAATGGCTATCCCAACAAATGGCTTATAAAGATGAAGCTCAGCTGGGTATGGTGGCACAGGCCTATAAATCCCAGCACTCTGGGAGGCCGAGGCAGAGGGATCACATGTTCAAGCCCAGGCAGGGCAATTTAGTGAGACCCTGTCTCACAAAAGGGCTGGGGTTGTAACTCAGTTTGAAGGCCCCGGGTTCAATCCCTAATATCCAAAACAAAACAAAACAGAACAAAAAAAGCCCACAGAGAACTAATTCATCCACTTCTTGGTTCCTTGCTCAGGGTTAGAGGTGCTCCCGTGGACCTCTGGGGACCCTCCATGCCTGGCATTGGTTCCCCGCAACAGAGGTCTCTCTGTTCCTCTTCGCCCTGTCCCAGCTGGGTTAGGGATGCCTGGGTGTGACCTGCCTGAGAGCAGCCAGCCCTAGACACAGCGGCTCACCCTTCCTGACCAGGCTGGGACTGGTAGTTTCCTGGCTTTGGTTCACTGCACAGCTATTTATTTAGCAAATGCTATTTCATCAAGACTCTCAGGTAAACACAGTTCCTGCCTTTGAGAAACTTCTAACCTGGCCAGGGAGGCAAGACATGCTGAATAAAGCTAATTGAGCTGGATGCAGTGGTGCACACCTGTAGTCACAGCTCAAAGGCAGCTGAGGCAGAAGGATCACTGAGAGTTCGAAGGCAGCCTGGGCTACATAGTGAGTTCCAGCCCAGCTTGAACTGCACAGTAAGACCCTGTCTCCAAAAAAAGAAGAAAGAAACAGAGAAAGGGAGAAGGGAAGGGAAAGGGAGGGGATGGAGAAAGAAAGAGGAAGGAAGGAAGGAAAGGAAGGAAGAAAGGAAGGAAGGAAGGAAGGAAGGAAGGAAGGAAGGGAGAGAGGGAGGGAGGGAGGGAGGGAAAGAAAAAGCAACCAGGGAACAGTAACCAGGCTCCCAAGATTGCACAGGCTCCAAGTATAGTTTCAACTTTTCCCATGGTTAAAGTGAGCCAGGTAGGCTTTTGCAAAACAGCATTTCTCTTTCCAGCTGATATAATCTCAGAAAAACAAGTTCTGTAAATTCACCACCTGCTGTATAAAGTGGTATTTAATTTACCTAAAATCTGACCCTGTCACACCTTAGGCAGATCCCAGGATCAGGGGCCCCAGAGCCCTGAAGGCCTAGGACTAGGCCAGCAGTTCTCAAAGTGTGGTTCTGGAACCCCTCAGGGAACCCACAGGGAACCGGTTAGATCGGCCCAAGCTCTGGCTCCACCCCAAGAATGTGGGGGTGGGGGGCAGGGCCCAGCTACATGTTGGAGCAGGCCCTGGACACTTGAGGCTGGCCATGCTTTTGGGACTTCAAGGGTACGGACAGCAAAGAGAATACCATCAGCCAGGCAGCTGCAGGGACCTCGCGCTGATGCAGGGAGCCCACGTACCCTTCCAGATGTAGATTTTGCCACAGAGCCCGTTGTCCAGCACGAAGCAGTCGTCGGGTATCAGCAGCTCGGGGGCAAAGGGGCTGGAGTGGGCCACCTTGGTCAGGTTCATCTGTCCGGTGGCATCGGAGACCTGGGAGGAAGTGCAGTGCTGGATCTGAGCCCAGGGAGCAGGCGTCGATCCTCCCCAGCGCCTTCTCCCTCCTCCCCTGGAGCCTCAGCTCAGCAAGAAGCCTGAAAGCAACAGAGCCTGCTGCACTCTGCCTGCACCTCCAGCCCTGCACTTGGAGACCAAGTGCATCTGGAAATGAGCGGTTTACAAATTACAAACACATGCACAGAACTCAAAAGGGGAAAAGCTCAGCAGGGGCTTCAAACCTTCACCAAGAACGAGCTGGAAGCAAATGGCATTATCTCTTCTGGAAGTGCCACTGGCCACTCCCATCCTCCTCTGCTCCAGCCCTGCATAAACCTCCCTGCTTCCCATGGTCTCCTCCTCAGCGCCGTGGCCCGACTGCTCTGTGAAGCTCCCACCCCTCACTGGTGAGCGTCACCTCGAGTGCCCACCTTGTACAGAGCCACGGCCTGGGCATTGGTCTGGTCGGCTGTGAGGTCCTCCTCAGGGTTGCCCTCCTTCAGAGCAGGCTTGGGGCCCAGAACCTGCAGGGGCCAGGGCAGGCCAGGTCAGCTGGGATTCCTGCCCCGAAACGTTCAAGCCATCTCGCCCAGGGCCACCCCTTCCAGAAGGACACACTGTCTGTCACATGTGGGCGTCCTGGGAGCTGGACATGAGCCCCAGTGGCCCTGCCATCCTCCATCCCCCCCTCATTTCCCCAGCATCACTGCCCCTCTTGGCCTTTCTAAGAAGCAGGGGCTCCCAGCCCGACTCCCCAGTGTCCCTAACCTGGATCATCTCTGCAGGCTCCTCTCCATCAGTGACGATCTCCACCTGGGCCTTGCCCTGCCGCTCACTGTCCCGGATGGCTAGGGCCAAGTCCCTTGCCTTGTTGCGCTCCAGGATGTTGGACGTCCCCCCACACCAGGTGAAGATGTTCTGCGGGGAGCAGGGCATCCCTGATCAGAGCCAGCTGCCTGGATCTGCCCCAGCTCAGGGGAAGGAAGGGCCCCTCTCTGCCCTTCACTTCCTCCAAGGGAAGACAATCAAGAAGGCAGGGACAGATGGCAGAGGCCTCTGAGAAGGGCAATGATAGTTGCTCTAAGAGTACTTCCTGTCCACTCGCCATATCTCTCCCTGTTTTGTTTGTTGTTGTTGTTGTTGTTTGAAACAGGATCTCCTTATGTAGTTCAGGCTGGTCTTGTGCTCCCAGGCTGGCCTTGAACTCATGGAGATACTCCTGCCTCAGCCTCCTGAGGACTGGAGTTACAGGCATGTGCCACCATGCCCAGCTTGCTATGTTTTTTTACCTCAACTGGGCATGATGCATGCTTGTAATCCCAGCACATTGGGAGGCTGAAGCAGGAAGACTGCAAGTTCAAGCCCAGCATGAGCAGCTTAGCAACTTAAGACTCTTTGAAAAAAAAAATGTTTTTTAGAAATTTTTAAAAGTCTGGGAATATAGCTCAGTGCAAAGGCCTTAGGTTCAATTCCCACTACCATAAAAATAGTCTAGTTCCTCTCTCTAGAAACTAAGCTACATGGCATGAAGGTTTAGTTTTGTTTTGTTCACGGCTATATAATCACTGCTAAAACAGCTGGCACATATTTAGACCCAAAAGAAATATATGCTAAATGAATGAATGGGTGGGTGAATTAGTGAATGAATCAGTAGATCAATGAATTGGTAATGAATGAGTGAATGGGTGAATGAGTGAATAATCAGTGGATAAATGAATGGGAGAATCAATGAATGGGTAGATCAATGAATGGGTAGATCAATGAATTGGTGGATGAATGGGGGAATGGATGAATGAGTGAGCGAAGGAATGGGTGAGTTGGTGGGTAAATGAATGAAATGGTGCTGAATGAGCGAGTGAATGGGTGAATGAATGGGTGAACGCAATGCTGGCAGAGCTCAGTGTCTCACGCCCATTGCTCCTGACTTGCCAATGGGTGGTGAGATCTGTTAACTGTGCTCCCCACCTTGTCCACCACAACAAATCCTCTCCACAAACAGCTCCTGGATTGACCTTCCAGCCCCAAATCTTCACTGAGACTCCAAAAAACCTTCAGTGTCCTCATAAACCGGGTCCCACTTCCAGAGCCACACTGCTCCCACCCCTCCTGTTCCCACTCACATTCCGGTTTCCATCTGCACCTGCATCCTCCCCCATTCCTTTAGCTGTAGGACACCCCTCCCCCAAGGTTCTGGGACAAAGGGCTTTGGCTGGGGCTCCAGGGCCCTGCCCTGAGCGTCCCTGGTCCCTGGCTGCAGCTGCCCCCATCACACCCTTCTGTAGGTGACAGCAAGTGACCAGCCCACCCTGGCTGCCTCCACGAATGAGCTTCTGCGGCGCCTGTGCTGGCTCAGAGAGCATCACAGATTCATGGAGTGAGCGAGTAAGTGAATAAATGAATGGAAATGTCTGGCAAGCAACTAACTCGGAGCTTCGAAGGTTTCCAGAAGAAAGGGAGGTAAGCTCCACAGGCTTAGGCTGTATATCAGGGGTCTGGTGTCTGTCTTTAGAGAGTCAGCCCTCCACATCTGTGGGTTCTACCAGAGTCAACTGACTGAGGATCAGAAATATTCAGGAAAAGGCTGGGCGTGGTGGCATACCCCTGTAATCACAGTACTCAGGAGGCTGAGGCAGGATCACCATGAGTTTGAGGGCAGCCTGGTCCACATAGTGAGATCTTGTCTCAAAAAAAAAAAA